CCCGCGGCCGAGAGCAAACTTCAGCCGCCGGCGGCAACGCAAGTCCAGCCCCCTCGGCCTCCTCCTCCGGCTCCCGCCCTCCGCCGGTCGGCCCAGATCGTACGCGCGGTGACTCTGGTGGGTGGGCAGGGCCCGCGTGGGCGGCGAGACTTTCTCCTAGTGCCCTCCCACCTAGCCAGCGTCCCCCGACACGCGCGACGATCCAGGGGGATGCCGTGCGCCCGGTGCCCGCAGACCCGCGTGGGCCACGGATCCCCCCACGCGCGCGCGCCCTCGCTCGCTCGCTCGCACGCACGTCCCCAGCCGGGAGAGGTGCTTGCAGCGGCCCGCGGCACCGGGCGGGCACGGCCGCTTACCTTGGCATGGTGGAGGTAGAGCAGCAAAGCGAGGGTCCAGTGCACCCACGAGAGCAGAAAGTTCATGGTTTCGGAGGTCCGGCTAGAACCCACACGGCTCGCGCAGCCTTTCCGGCTCGGACTGCGGGGCGGCCCGCTCTCCTCCGCGCCTCGGCGGTCTCCTCTTCCTTCTGGCACCAAGGCCCTGGCCGGGGCCTGGGGAGCGCGCGCGACGGTGGCACTGTCTTCGCACACGGCCGCCTCACCCGTCCATGAGCCCGGCTTGCGAGCTCCGAGTCGCCGCGGCCCCCTCTCCTCCACCTCTTCCTTCTTTTCTTCCTCCTCCCCCTCCTCGGGCTGCGGCTCCTCCCGGCCCGCACTAGCACTTCTCCCGGCTTCGCTCGGCTCGGCTTCGCCGGCACGGACCACAGCTCCTCCGGAGCGAGAACAGCCCAGAAGTTGGACGAAAAGTTTCAGCGCAGCCCCGGGAGCCCCGACCCCCTCCAGCCCGCCTCCGAGCGCGGGCTCCGGCTCCAGCTCGCGGCTCGCCGCCGCGTCCGCCGTCGACAGTCGGCCGGAGAGGAGGTGGGCGCTGGGGCGGGGGGCGGTGTCTGTCTGTCTGTCCGTCAGCGCGGCTGGTACGATGCGGGATCCGGAGGGGGAGGGCGCAAGCCGCGCTCCGGCGGTCACCCCCAAAAAAGCAGGTCACTCACTCTGCCCCTGTCGCTGGCTCGTGCACTCAGACTGACTCTCTCTCTCTCTCTCTCTCTCTCTCTCTCTCTCTCTCTCTCTTTCTCCTCTCCCTCGACTTCTCTCTGGCGTTCTGGCTACCTCTCCGCGCTGGTGTCCAAAATCCGAAGTGATAGAGAGTGGAGGCGCAAACCCCCAAACCGTCGGCCCGATTTAAGTGAGGAATGGGAAGCAAAAATAAATTAAACCGGGAAGGAATACGGCTTTTCAAAATGTCTAAGAAAAAAAATAACGAAAGCAGCAGCAGCCAGGGGGGGCGTACACCCCAGGTAAACGGGTCTCAGATTCCAGTGCGGAGGCCCCTGCGCGGTCGCCTCGCGGGTCCGTCCGCCTCGCAGCCGAGTCTCCCCGCCGCCGAGCGCCGCTGCTACCTCTTAGCAGTCCTGCGGCCCCAGCCCTCTGCGCTCTCCACCGCTAGCAGCGATTAAAAAAAAAACCCGCTGGCCCCGCCCCGCCCCGCCCCGGGGCGGCGACTGGGCTCCCCGGCTTCCGCCCCTCTGGCTCTGGACGCTGGTAACGTGCTGCCCGGGCTCGCCCTTCCCCGGGGGATTCCTAGGCACCGCCGGACCCCCGTCCCGAGCGAGCTCTCCCACCGGACTTCACGGCCTGGAGACTGCCCAGTCGTTCCCCCCCAAACTCCACCCAGAGACACCGCTTCCGGGGGGGGGGGGGGGGGTAGCATTCGGGAGGAGGGGACAAGAAAGTGAGGTTATGTGCGGACAGGGCCCCGGTTCTCATCCTCTCTTAGCTGGGCGCCTTGGAGTGGGAATCCCAGGGACCCGTGGGGAGAGGGACATGGATTTCATTGGAAATCCTGGAGTAACCCTTGACCTTCTCTCCCCTCCAACACGCTCATCTTCTGCGCGCGCGCACATGCAAACTCACGCACACACGCACATGGACACTCACACCCGTCCTCGCACGCATACGTTGCTCCAAGTTCGCAGCTCGCAGCCAGCGCTTCCCTGCGGTGGCCGAGCGCCCCCTAGTGGCTGCCGTCTGAACGCCGCGCTCTGGCTCCCGCGGGAACGGGTCCTGGGGAAGAGTGGAGGCAGTCTCTGACCTCCTCAACAGTCGCATTCTTCGAATGACCCTATGCACAGAGAGCCCAGTGCTGGACGTCGCGGGGATCGTACGTCCATCCGGAAGCCTTATTTGGCTGGCCGACCTCAGATACAGCTATGGGGTCCTTCCAGAACCGTTAGGGAGGTTTCCCTGGAAGAAGAATTTGGCAAGGTCTCCTTGCTCAGAGAGCGCGCGAAAGCCTTGTCTTTCCAGGGTCATCCAGTGGCAGGGAGGGGCGAGGGACGAGGACCTGATGGAGCCCACGTATGCACCGTGGAGTCTGGCAGAGCCCACAGGGAGAGGCATCTGGGCAGAGAGAGGCCCTTGTTCCTACTCGCCACCCCCTCCCCAGATGTTGCCAGGGGTGCTGGTGGGGGCAGATGCAGGCAAGGGCCTGAGTGATGATTCAAGCCTACCCACCAACACTGCAGCGTCTGTAGGCCAGCTACAGGAGCTCCCACCAGGCTGGGGGCCAAGGTTCCTTTCTGCCAGCCCAGCCCACGGGGCGCACAGCTAACCTCTGAACAGACTTAGGGATGTCTCCTTAGTCCACCACCACCAACCCCCAGGTCCCCTGGGCTGCTCGCCGCCCAGCTCATAGCCTCTCTCTGCTCTTCCCAGTAATTCTTTATCCCTTCGTTCCTTCCCTTCGTCCAAATACCCTTCTCCTCCCACTTCCCAACTCTCCATGCCTCCATATGCTCCCCCAGGGCTTCCACTCTGCCCTCCCACTGAGAGACCACCCTGGCAAAACCCCCACTTGGACTTTGGCCCCACTGCCCCTAGGGTCCCCTGGAGAAGAGCAGGAGCAGCCTACTCCTCCGGGGCCCAGAGCTTCAGGAGGCCTGGCTCAGGGCGCGTGTAGGCTCTCCAAGGGAGGGAGAGTGGGTGGGAAGGCGGCACCCTCCCTAGGTTTGACCACAATCACCCAGGAGAGTTACCGAGCCAGCCCCTGGCTCCGCATGAGGTACCCCAGTTCTAGTGAGGGCTGGCTCCCGCCCACCTCATCCCACCCTTCTCTTCGTGTGTGCCTCCAGTCCCATCTCCCCGCCTGGCAGGACCTCAGCAGCCGGGGACAAGGTCTTTTCACAGCTAGTAAATGTGTTTCCTGGCCCTGGGTCCCCTCCTGGGCATTTGTCCCCACCCGGCCAGGGTTCCCAGCTACAAGCTAGCTGCAAAGTAGAGACGGGAAGGGAAAGCCACTACACATCCTCCTGGTCCACTTGGGTCTGCATCTAGCCCCCAAGCACAAGGGGTGAGCCCCTACACAGAGACCCTTTCCCCTTCCCTCATCTGGTGCAGGCTGAGCCCAAAACAGAGGCTCCAGGCTTCCTCTGGCCCCTCCCATCTTCTCATCTCAGATGCAGTGTGCCGGGTAAAGGACCCTGAAGTGAGGAGGGAGTGACAGGCATTGGATGTTGGGCTGCTAGCGGCAAGGTAAGCAGTTCAAAACCACCAGCCGTCACTCCTCGGGAGAAAGGCGGAACTTTCTACTCCTGTAAAGGGTTACAGTCTCGGAAACCCACTGGGACACCTATCCCCTGTCCTATAGGATCTCCCTGAGTCTGTTTTGACTTGATGGCCGTGAATTGGATTTGCTTTACAGGCATCCCAAGGAAGAACTAGAGAGAAGGAAAACACTATCCTTCACAGTCCCGGGGCTCTCCTCCATGGAGCCAGGGCTGCAAAAGCCAAGGTTTGTTACAACTGCCCTGTGGAGAGCCAGCCCAGGGATGGCAGGTGCATGGTGAGAAGCAGAGTCACCAGAATATGGGAGCTGGGCTGCAGCCTGGCCTGGGGCTCTGTGAGCACCCTTCTCCAATGGGGTGGGCCTGTCACCTCATCCTCAGATGGCTTGGGGCGCTACCTGGCAGTGACCCAGAGAAAAGTTTGACTCGAGGAGGTCCCCTCCCCCAGCGTCACCAGCCTTCACCATGACATCCCGTCGTGGGCCAGCGAGGGCCCACATTGTCATGGAATTGAAAGCCTTGCTCACCTGGGAACAAGAACTACACAGAACCAGAAACACAAAACGGCAACACTAGGGCCACACCGTGTTTCTGTAGTGTCCTCTCTTCCCACGGGGTTTAATCCCCTCCGGCAAATTTAATTCCCCTGATCCTTCCCCTCAGGTTGCTGTAGGGCAAGGAGCATTAGGGGATACTCTCCCCACCACCACCACCACCCCCGACTCTCCCAAAGGCACAAAGAGTGGGCAGAGATGTCCAAGGTCACTCAGCAATTGTGGGGGGTGGGGAGCAGGGAGGGCAAGAGAGAGCAGCCAAGAGGCCGGACAAGTCCTCCTGAAACCCTCTTGAGGGCCCCTTCAGACCTTGACTAGAGGGGCCCACCTCAAGGCCCAAGTGGCCACGGTGGGTGGCTCTGAAGTCTGGTCTGAGGGTGCCAAGGAGGAAGGCTGCTCCAAAGGCAAGGTGTTCCAGGTGGGGGGTGAGGGGAGGGAGGGGAAGGGTGGGGGTGGAGAAGAACAGGAGCAGCCAGCAGTGGCCCCAGACAAAGGAGGCACTGATTGGACCCAAGGCACAACAGATGTGCTTTGTCCTGATGTCCTGTCACCTCCACATGCAGGGAGAAGCTGGCCTGCGGGAAGGTGTAGGCAGCTAAGTGTGGGGCTGCTGGAGGAGGAGGCAGAGCCCCTCCTGAGGAGGGAGAGGGCAGGGCAGGGGCGGAACCACCTAAGCACCTATTGAATCCAGGGGGAGAGATTGGGCTCAAAAAGCTCCAGCTCACTGTCATCAAGTTGATTCTGACTTATAGAAATCCCATAGGACAGAGTTGAACTGGGGAACGGTTGGTGGTTTTGAACTACTGACCTTGCAGGCAGCAGCCCAATGCACAATCCACTAGGCTACCAGAGCCCCCTCAGTTTCCTGGTTCTGGCCATGTCTCTTTCTCCTTTCTTCTCTCTCTCTCTCAATCTTTGCAAGGAAGAAGGACCTTATGGGGACTTAGGAGCCAAATAAACTCAGGCCACACTCCCGGCTCTGCCTCTCTTTCCTGGTAGGACCTGAGGTGGGTCACTTGCCCTGAGCCTAGCTTCCCTCATCTGTAGAGGACTGAAGAAGAGCCTGCCTTGGATCAATTTTGCAGACAGACAAGTGTACACACAGCTACCCCAGAGGCAAGCAGGGAGGCAGCCCTGGGGAAAGCATGGAGACTCACGAGCAGAGCAGACAAGCTAGCTGGAGTGGGCATCAGGGAGAGCTTCCTGCACGAGGTGGCACAGGTGGCTTCCCACCCTCAATAAAAATAAGCACCAAACTCAGTCTTGAAGTCAATTCCAACTCATAACGACCCTACAGAACAGGACAGAACGACTCTTTGGGAATCCCCAGATGTAAAATCTTCATGGGAACAAAAAGGTTCATCTTTCTCCCTTGGGAGGGGGCCAGTGGGCTTGAACCACCAACCTTGGGATTACCAACCCAATGCATAACCCACTACACCACCAGCGCTGCTAACTTTTGCTTATAAGGCCAGCTTTAGGCTGGGCCCTGGGACTACCACACAGTGGATGGGGCTCCTTGCCTGGAAGGGAACTGAAAAAAGAACTGGAAATGGACGTTCTCTAGTGATGGGAAAATCTGGGAAGGCTGCCTGGAGGCAGTGACATTTGACCTAAGTCTTGATGGACAGGCCTTACTTAGCCAGCTAGGGAGCAAGAGAGCAGGCTGTGGGCCCAGGGACCTGGTCCAGCGAATGCTGATGGCTCAGCATAGCCCACCCAATGCTTCTCGGAGTGAAACAGACCTCCAGGAGAGGGGGGCCAAGCGACAGGGTTAGGGGTTCTCCAGAAACATTGCCAGCCAAAGCCCACAGGGACAACGCTGACCCCTCGGGGGTGAGACCCACACAGTGTCCCC